GCAGAGACAGTGTCACGAAATGGCAGAATCAAAGCCTTTCTGAAGATAGCACTGAACTTTTTATCCTCCAAAGCCTTTAACGCATCAGCAAATCCACAAATTGTCTGAATGAATGTGAAGTAAAGGGCCAAAAGGGCACCAACGGTTGAGATTCCAACAGTCCAACTAGTCAAATAGTTACGCACAATTGAAGCTCTTGTTCTTCCATACATAGTATCAAAGTACTTGTTTGCCTCGTTCACCACTTTGTACAAGTATGACTCATTCATATCAGGAGTTATTTCTTTGGCAATGTCATTTATTAGATCAGCCACTCTTTCATCATTGCCTAAAGAGTGATGAAGAATCCCTTTACCATGAAGAAGAGCCACATCATTTGCTGAGTTGATGAGTCTGTTGAAGAAAAACAAGTAGGTTGTTACATCAGGGTTGCATCTTTTGTGGCACTTTTCAAATGCTACTATGTTACGAAACACTGTCCCTCTATGATCGCTTATGTGCACACGAGGGATTGTTAGTTCCCTCGTTAATACTCCCCACTTCCTTCCAAAGGTTATATCAAGCAATTCGCGGTCCTCATCAACTTTGATTTTCACACCAGCATCCTTCAGTTCTGTAGCAGAATGAATCATTTGCTTCTGAATTCCTCTTGACACTTCTTCCCCTTTAACATTGGGGGGTCTAATGTTGTACCTAAGAAGATCAAGCACGTGCTCTATTTCAAACTTGTAAGCTTGGTAACATTCTGGAATATGGCTCGAGTCTGATTGAAGCAAACGGTAGAAGAATCTAAAGGCAAGATCATTCAGATTCGTGGATGGTTGATCAGGACGAGAGTTATTTGTGAGCTCAAACAATTTGTTCAAAACAAAGAGTGGAAGCTGATTTTCAAGCATTATCAATTCGCGGCGAATGGTGGGTAGCATCCATCTACTGAGGGAAGGGACTTGTTTGAACTGGTTGTGTGATAAATCCCTCAAGAGCTGAATGATGAAAGAGGCATCAATTAGCATCATATGGAGAAACTCATCACTGTTGTGTTTGATTTCACCCATGTAACATTTTCGAATGTTGGCTTCTTGCTCCTCAAGAAACTTGAAAGCCTCGTCTAATTTGGCTCCATTTAGACCATTTGGATTGAAGAGGCGATTACAAAACCTCTTTTTCAGGATTTCCATGTCTTGCAAGTGCGTTGCTCCGTGATGGTAAGGGCCTATTGAGATGTTGTTGGGTACGTAGGCTTTGGAATCGACCCTCAACATGTTTGGTGGAACCCTGTATATGCAAACTGACTCATTTTCTTTAGGGATTATTCCACTTTCTAATTCTTTCTCAATAAGACCCCTCCAATTTGATCTTCTTTCAGCAGTGCCATGAAAGTTTCTTCTGCTGAAATTCTGAAAAGCCAATCTAATGAGTTTATCGCACCCCATTGTTGTGTGAGCAATAACTATATGTTCTCTTGCCTTCCACATACCACTCATCCCTTTTTAACTTACGGTAAGTCAATATTTATATTCAAGTCAATTTGTGTGAAACAAAGCAAGATTGTTACTAGGAATTTTAAGATTTCCATGTCTTTATGTTCTATGATTTTTCACTTCCACTTTAATTTAACCTACTCCGATTCTTCTGGTTTCGTGGTCAACGTGTGGCAATGTCAATTTCAAATTGGCAATTTGCAAAAGTATGCTTCTTGGGCCTTTATTTATTGATTTATGTACCTAACACAACGTTGGCTCATCCAAGTGCTACTAAACCTAGAATTGAATAAAAGACTTTAATTTTGAAGTCTTAAGCATAATTTTGTGAACAATATTTCAATTAATGAATGACTTCATTTGCTTGTGTGAGCTTGTTTTGTCACCTTAACAATGTCGCAATAAAATAAACGAAGGATGTGAATTCCATGAATATGGAGATAGTATAGGTGCATATATGGGATTAAACTATTTGGCCAAGATATGTAATCAGTTTTACTAAGCTATGAAGGGCACACAGCTTGTCTTTTATTATTATTATTATTATTATTATTATTATTATTATTTTAACTATTGAAATAAACGAATAAAATAATCTGTAATTAGAAGTTGATCTCTTTTTAACTTTTTTTTCCCCTTATAAGCTCGAGATGACCACCCATTCTATGGTAAATATATGCCACATATAAGCCTACACAGTGTCTTGTAGTATTTACAACAAAAAATATGACAATAATACACTTTTTTTAAATATGCTCTAAGTACAATTTTTTTATTGATTAATTTTTTAAAATATTAAAGTAATTTTTGAAAATTATCATGATTTTCTTAAAAATAATTTATAAGATGAGTACAATCAATCATACGAAATGTGTTAAAAAAATATGTTATTATTTCTTATTTACAAGAATTTGTATAGTTGACAACTTGAATTTATTTTTTTCTTTTTAAAAAATTTATTTATTTTTATAAATTTAATTTAATTAATAAATATGTTTAAAATAATTATTGAATTAATTAATTTTATGTTTTATAATAAATTATTAATTGGTCTAATTTTCAAATTTATCATCTAATCACAATGAATTGTGACCTATAAATTAATTGAAACATATATTTTTTATAATAACAATAATATAGAATCACAATATTATATATATTTATTTTATCGTTCCTTTCACTTGTCAAATTACAAAATAGAAATTTTATTTTGCTAAATCATAAAATATCTAAATAATAAAACATAAATATAATTTATTCTCTTTTATTTTATTCTATTTAAGTTCTACTCTACATTGGCATTAAAGACCAATGAAATTAACTAATAATCATTAAATTACATATTAATTCTTGAAATAATTTTATGAACTAAATTGTATTCTACTTTTTTATTTTATTTTGGTGAATAATTTTTAAAATTGTATTATTTTAATTAAGAAAACTTTTTATTGTTGGTCAATTATGGTCTTCTAACGTGTAGGCCAGCATTTGGCGTTAAACTAACGCTAGGTTGCCGCAGAGAACTTCGGGTTGCTTAAATTTAAAGTGGAAAATACTTTTACCATTTTTATTAAAGAGTTGATCTCCAATGAAATTCACAGATTATATCTATATTTACATTTTAAAAATAATTTACTTTATCATTCAAAATAAAATTTTTTGATTTATTTTTAAAATATTATTATCAAACATAAATTAATTTTAACCTTACTTATTTAGAAAAATATCATTGTAAAATTAATTATTTCAAAAATAATTTTATCAAAAAGTAATGTATATTAAATAAAACAAAAAAATGTATGAGCTTTTCTTATGAGAAATTAACATAATTACACTATTTTTGTATAAAAAATTATATAATAAAAATAGAAATAGAAAGATGAGAATGTCCTGCCACGCGCTGTTGACTTTGACTCCGTTCTCCCCCTACCCCTTCTTGCACGCTGTCATTCGTTTCAATTTTGGACTCTGACCAATCATTTATTTTGAGTAATACAGTTATTTTAATCTTTAAAATTACAAAGCATTTACTAATTTAATTTTTAAAAGTCATTAAAATTAAAATTTGAAATTATCAAGAGTTTATCATTTTAATTCTTAAATTGGATAAAAAATTTAAATACATGAAATGATAAAAAAAAAAACTAGCTATTTTAATTTTTAAAATTATAGATGCTCATTAATTAAATTCTTGAAATTATAAAATATTACTAAAATTATGAAAAATCAGTTGCTTTAGTATAAACTCATTCTAATATATTAATACTTTTTTGAGTTATAAATTATTTTTCGTAATTTTAAAGATTAAAACTGATGGATAGTTAAATTGTAAAAGAGTAATTAATGTAAAGATTAATATGACGTAATGGTCCACTGATTGTACTTTTTCCTGTGCATGAAAAAGTTTCCATGCACTATCAATTCATTTGCACTTGCATGCTACTCTTGAAGGGCCTAGAATCTTCTCTTTGCTCACTAAAACCACCACAATCCTCATCAACATGATCCCAGAGGATACTTTTTCAACAAAGAGCGTAATTTAAACGCAAATGTAATTTCTCATATCCCATATGCTTGAAATCAAAATTGTACATTTTCATCCACCACTTAAATCCCCCCTCTGTTCTGTTTCTTTCTTTCTATATAATCTCTCTGTGCTCTGTTAAGTACTTGCATTGAAGGGACACCTCTTAATTCCACACTCAGGGTCCTTACAAGTTGCAACGGTCTTTGGCAACTTCAGAATTCCCAGGTCAAAGATTTTTCGTTGTGATATTTGGCCATGTAAGTTTCTTAAATCCTCTTTGTACATAGTATATCGCGCATACATTGTTGCCATAATTACTAATGCATTTTAATGATTTAAATATGGTTCATTCTCTGCATTAAAGCAACAGTTCAGTCATTGGATAAGGATTATAATTTTTGGTGTTATTTTCCAATTATAGCTACTTCCATGTAAAGCCGGGATTGGTTGAATTTTCGGAGTTCAAATAATTGACTGGAAATATGAGAAAAAAGCATGGAATGAACATGGAGTTATATTTTACATCCACCCTTATTATTTTCATAACTAACATGAGATCAAAATGAAGTGATATTGTATTATAACCTGTCCAAGCAAAACAATTTAGCACCTTCTTCACTAAGCAACATGAGGAAACCCCTTTTAACTCCCTTAAAATTCCATTTTGACCTTCCCAAAGCAAACATATGCTAAATGGCTATAGAAGGAAGCAAAAATGTCGGGTGTAGTCCCATTGCTAGTGTCTCTGGTTATTGATCACTTCCATGTGTTATGAATTGAATCATTCCATGCTAAGCTTTTTAGAATTCATTTTTAATTTGTGAATTGATTTGAGAGGTATAAACTATGAATATTAATAATTTGCTTATCCATTCATGAATTTTCTTTTTGCAGTTGTGTTCTTAATTTTGCTTCAAGTTCAACTATTTCTTGCTCACTTTACCCGAATAGTTGGCACACTTACATCTGTTAAGAAATAATATACCATTGTTTGTAATGAAGGAAAATAAGCGTTATTGTGATATTATTTCATATCATTTGTGTTAACTATCTAGCTTATCTGGATACAGAGGAAGATCATGACAATGCAAGTCTCAAGTAAAAAGTTTGAACGAACTCCAAGTATTCAGAAGGTATTTCCACCCAAAAATAATGGCGAAATCACTGGATGTGACACATGCTCTGTTCAGTTCATCAACCATCAATGTAATCCATCAGAAAGCCAAATCTGTCAATGCTACGGTTCAAAACCACTTCTGTTAGAAGATGTGGCCCCTTCCCCAATAAATCTCTCATCTTCTATTCCAGCCCATGCGATGGAACGTGCTGTGTCAATATATCAACTGGTTCCTCCGTCAAGTACTTCTGCAATTCCACCTCTTCACGCAGGTGATCAATTGGATCTTGAACACATTAACTTTTCAGGACCCCGCTCGAGTTCATTTCCTGTTTTTGGTAAGTTTAATATGTTGATCGTACATTCTTCAAACATTTGTTACTACATGATCATTGCCTCGATTCTAGGTCCTAGTGTAGAATATAGTCAGTAGTGAAAATGTGTACTGATATATAATGCTTGCATGACAGGAGATAAAATACCAGCAAATCTTCACCTGTACTTGCCCTTATATAGAGCTGCAATGAGAGGTGATTGGGACAAGGCTAATGTGTTCCTAAATTTGCATCCTGGCGCAGAGCGTGCCAGGATTTCAAGAGGGTGGGAAACAGCTCTTCATATTTCTGCTGGTGCTAAACACATCAAATTTGTGGAGGAACTGATCAAAAGAATGCGAAGTAAGGACTTGGAAATTCAAGACAAAGATAACAATACTGCACTTTGTTTTGCTGCAATATCAGGGGTTACCAAGATAGCAAAGCTGATGGTGGAAAAGAATAGAAACTTACCTGGAATACGAGGTAGTGAAGGGGTGACACCACTTTATATAGCTACATTACTGGGTCAAAAGGACATGGTTTGGTATCTCTATTCAGTGACCAATCATGAGGATCTAAATACAGAAGACTACTTTAGCCTATTAATTGCTGCTATATCTACAGATTTATATGGTAAGTTCAAGAAATGAATTAAGAGTCCATTTAAAAAACATTGCAATTGTGATAATTTCTCCATGAATCTTTGCTTCTCAGATTTTGCCTTACATATACTTGAGCGTCAACCACTATTAGCAACTTATCATGGTTTGAATGGGGAGACAGCCCTGCACGTGTTGGCAAGAAAACCGTCATCATTTACCAGTGGCATTCAACTAGGAATATGGGAAAGATGCATCTATCCATGTAGGTATCACTCATCTTATGTTACCTTGTGTTTTAAAATGTCATTTTTATAGAGTCCTTATACAGACAGATTGTTTGGTTCAATCTTATGCTCAATATATTTATAATTCCAGCACTCTACATTAAGTTGTAGTTTATTCTTGAAGGGATTCATTGAGTACAAAATAAAGCTGAGTTTTGTTAAAGGAATGACATGTTGAAATTCTTTTTTGAAGGGATTCAAGTCAAACTAACAAAAGATTACAGATGCCAGGCTAGCAACTTCCAATCCCAGGTGCCTTCAACCTTTCAAGGTATGTTAAATATTTGTCTGCTGGTAAGTACTAGGTGCAACATCCATAAAGCAATGAGCTTCCACATTCACAGCAAGCTTTTCATCATGAATCTTTCTCACACATGATAAATCATTGAAGTGGTTTGCACAATTTGTGATGAATTCTTTTCATAATTCAGATTTTAAAAAGAAATAAGAGTTAAGGAATGGATTTGTAGTGGTCAATGTGAAAATGCTTATCAAATTACATTCCCAAGGGCAGAATTATTCAAATATTCAACTAAAATGAGCTATTGTATCTCCATTATGTCTATGAATAAGGTTATTTATAATGTAACTAATTATTCAATAATCTATTGGATTGAAGGTGCAGATAATCTATTGTTGACTGGACTTTGGTGGGCTGTCAAATATCTTGGTATGCTTCAACTTGATGGCCTCACTAAAGTTGTTTGCGTCTTGAACTAACTTGCTTTACTTACAGTGCCAGGATTTGAAGCAGTTCAGAAGAAAAGAATATTGAATTCACAGGCTTTAGAGTTAGTTCAACGTCTTTGGAAAGAAATAGTGTCTTCAAAAGAAATACAGCAAGGAGACTTAATTAGAAGCCCTTTGTCACGACCCCTATTTATTGCTGCTGAATTTGGAATCCCTGAGATTGTAAATGAGCTTCTTGAGTCATATCCAGATCTACGTAAGAAAGTTGACAGCCAAAAAAGAAGCCTTTTCCACATTGCAGTGATGTATCGTCAGGAAAAAGTATTTAAACTGATTTATGACATAGGGGCACAAAAGGATCTGATAACTTCCTACAGAGACAATAACAATCACAACATATTGCATTTAGCTGGAAAATTGGCCCCTTCAGATCAACTTCATGTTGTATCCGGTGCAGCACTGCAGATGCAAAGGGAATTATTGTGGTTCAAGGTCATTGTTCAATCTTTATTCTGTTGTCAGTTTCTCAGTTTAGTTTGAAATTGAGAATTTAAGGTTGTTTTGAAACATTTTATTTCTTGACTTTGCAGGAGGTGGAAAAGATCATACAGCCTCTTTTCAAGGAGATTAATGATTCCAAAGGTAAGACACCTCAAATGTTATTTACTGAGGAACACAAAGGGTTGGCCAAAGAAGGAGAAAAGTGGCTGAAGAACACTGCTTCATCATGCATGCTAGTTGCAACACTCATTACCACTGTGATGTTTGCAGCTATCTTTACTGTTCCAGGTGGGAACAACAATAATAATGGGTATCCTATTTTAATGCATACTGTACCCTTCAAAGTTTTTGCTCTCTCAGATGCTCTTGCATTGTTCTCCTCGGTAATATCGGCGCTGATGTTTTTGTCCATACTCACCTCAAGATATGCACAGGAGGATTTCCTTGTGTCACTGCCTAAAAGGTTGAGTGTTGGCATTGCAACCCTTTTCTTCTCCATCATTACAATGCTCATAGCTTTTGGTGCAACATTTTTCATTGTACTTGGCCATCAATTGGCATGGATTGTCATTCCAATTACCTTTGTTGCTTGTATACCAGCAACATTGTTTGCCTTTTTACAGTTTCCTCTTCTTGTTGATACAATCTCGTGTACATATGGACCTGGCTTATTTGCTCATTGAGGTATTAGGCAAATGCAATTCAACATTAGTGTGATGCTTGAGTTTGAGTTTGGTTTTGAGCTCTTAGTTCTATTCTATGTCTGCTATCCCTCTATCTATGTTATATATATTTGGTAATTCAAGTTATTAATTAATCTACACTTGATGCTCAGTACTCATGTTCTGTCTTTTTTGGTCAATCAATACTCATGTTCTCGAATTTGTATTACTGTATATATTAGTTATACTTTTGCCCCTTGGTAGACAAAGTTGGGCTTGGTTGATTCAGGCTTGCCTTCGTATAAACACGGGGATTTTCACTTTTTGTCCGTTAAAAAATAGTCGTACGATATTGCAGGAGAATCTGATGCACAAGACTGCATATTCTAACCCCTTGCTAAGTTATTGGTTACCATCCCATGCAAGATAGTTTGATAAAACTATTTTTGGTTATTTTCGTAACAATAGTTCTAAAGAAACTTGATTTAATCTCACAACGCCAAATTGTTTAATATTTCACTGTTCAAATATTAAATGCTATCTTCAAACACAAGCACATGTGCTAAAATAATCCCAATTTTTTTTTATTGTTCATATAATATTTTAAAGTAACTAAATTTAAAATCACATCAGTGTAATTTTAAAGTTATTCAAAACTTTGTTTTTTGCAAATAATATAATATAATATAAACATGAATCCATTACACTTTTGTTAATAAATTGTACTAAATTAAATTTTCTTTATTTCCAATATTTAAATAAAAAATAAATGCTACATATTATATATTTGCAGGATTTTTTTATGTAAAAACAAACTAGGTCAAGTTGTTTTAACAACAGATGCAAGATATATATATATATATATATATATATATATATATATATATATATATATCTTAGAGAAAGAGTAATATTCATTCTAATATAAATAACACTGTCAATGAAATTAATAACTATATTCTTGACATAACTAAATGATCAATAAAATAGTATAGATAATCACCTATTGTATTATTAAGCATGAAATCACCAAAAGAGTTGAAATAGTATTCAGAGGCAAGATGACCAGATATTCTGCTCCATTTAGGTTTTCTTTGTAACACGAGCATTTCACCCTCTATTCAATTAAGAAAAGCTCCTACGGATAATCATAAAACCAAACTGAACGATCCCTTGTAGCTAGATTATTTATATGTAGGTCTCCATATTACAATTATTGAAAAGTTATACATGAGATATTCATCAGAAAATGGGCAGTAATAAAATGGGAAAATGGTAAATATAAGGTGTTGAAGCCAATAAGTTTAACAAGAATTAACTTTCAACTTCAACCTGGTGGCCAATTCATCTGTCTTCCACCTAGTACATGCAAGTGTAGATGGTACACAGATTGACCTAATAAAAATAAAGTATGAGAATAGGAAGATTGGCGATAGGGGCACCATAATAAGCAAGTGAAAAAGACTCGGATAGATTGTTGAGAAGAAACAAACTTACAGGCACTGGGACCATTGTTGATGACGACACGGAATCCATCAAGTATACCTTCTTTTTCAGCCACAATTTTAGCAGCATAGAGAAGTTGACCCAATATTTCCCCATGTCTACCTTCAGCCTGTGAAAGAGAGAGATTGAAAGGTATCCTAGACTGGGTGGGGTGGTCTTAAAGAAAAATCATCATCCTTTTTGGAATATAAACACTTAAAGATCTTTTGAACCATCAGATCACAAAAAAGCCCCGATGTAATGTTGCTATCTAATGAGACATCCAAATAACTCAAAGGTCAAAGGAAACCAAAAATCTGATAACTGGCTTGAAAATAATATAAATAAAGTTTGATAATCAAGAAGTTTTTAAAATCTGAAAGTACATTTTTTTATATAATGTGAATGTATATTTAACTTAGAGTAGCATGAGACAGAAAAGGAAATAATGTTGTAATCTGCAGATTATGGATGAGACACATCACAAATATAAAACCAACATTTTGTGCCTTGGATCAAACATATCAGAGCAGCTAAAATCATTAATTGCTTTTTCTATATAAATTCTTGTTAGTTTTCCTCTTAGTAAAGCATGTGAGATTACTGCACTTCCATTCATCAAGACTTCTGTTACCTTAGTGGCATCACTTACAAATTATATATTATCATTCTCAATGATGCTTCTTCTCTTCGATTTGAATGTCTTCATTTAACCATCTTCATGGTCCATACAATTTAAGTAAACTAATCTTCATGAGAAAATATTGTTTTTCTCCAATCATCACTTTGTTATTATATAAATCCATGTTCTTTTTCATGATGTCAGTAGCCAGAGTGGGGACAAACCAAATGAATCACTAAACAGAAAAAGAATCATCTAAAAATTTTGCTAGTGTACACATAAAAATAAAAAGGGGTGATTAGTGACCTTGCCAAGTTGTGTTAATCCATCTCTAAATTTAGGAATGACTAGAACATGAACTGGAGCCTGTGGATTAATATCTCGAAATGCTAGAACCTTTTCATCTTCGTATACAATGCTTGATGGGATTTCCTTTTTTATGATCTTATCAAATCTGGAAAAAAAAAATAGAGGAGACAGAATTACACAAACAAAGAAAAGAAACACATTAAAATGATTAAGAAATAATATTGCCGGTGTCGGTGCATGTGTGTGTCAGCATGTCTATAATTATCAATAAATATACATCTTATATAGTATGGAGCCAAAAGAATTCCAGCAATACTTCACTGATTATATGTATCAGTCCCTGAAATTCAAATTGACTGTCACAGTTTGTGAGGGAAACCATACATAATTGAGATTCAAAATCCTTAGAGAGCAGCAAATCCTTTAAATTTAGAATCAACTCTATCTTGAACATCATTCTTAGAGGGAGATGGAAGGAGCAATGTTCTTGCAATGAGATTCGTGCTCCCTTGTATAAATTTAATCAATAATCATGACAGTATAATTATACTTCAATGAACAGGGAAAAACCATGATGAGAAAAAACTGATACTAGAAATTGAAGGGCAGTTACATTGTAGGAGCTTCACTATCAAAATTAACAGCAGCTGCTTTTGCTGCAGCAGCCTCTTCATTGTTTGTAGCACTACTACTAAAAACCAACCTGGTCCTGTAACAAGTAAGCAAAATGTCAAAATACGTCCATAGACAACAAGTCCAATATCACAGGATAGCTACTACTAACCCCGAACAGAAGTATTACAGAGAACCTGAAAATCCAAGCAAACAGCATATGGCTCAAAAAAAATACTTGCGTGGGCAAGATACAACACATTCTTGTGTAAGAAATCAAACATGTATGGTTCAAATCAACAGGGGTGTCTATTGCCAGTCATGTCTATTCGCACTCTTATTTAAATAAATTTAAATAGGAGTGGCAATAGACATTTAAGAGTGATAAAAATCACTCCCCAAATCAACAACACATTTGGTTCAGGACAATTAAAGGTTCAGTTTGAGAAAACATTATTTTTTTAATTTCCATTTCATATTTTCACAAATAATTACAAAGACTAAAACAGCTCCAGTGCTAAAACATTACTGACAGGCCGATTGGATATAGAAAGTTTTGAAGTGGCAAGAAAGATGTTCAGTCAATGGCAAATTTCCTATTCATTACAGGCGTTGCACCGACCTCAACTGGCTCTAACTGAGAACAAACATAACAACAGAAATCACGGATCATTGTATAGAAAGTTATTTCACGACCCTGTCCATCTCCTTAATTTTGTGCAAAACCTAAAACTCCCTCTTTTTCTTTTCATGCATTGCTATTTGCTAATGTCATAAAAAAGAGAACTTTAACATTCTTCACAACAGAAAAAGAATTGAACAAAAAAATGTTTAAGCAAACAGAAAAGCAACAAAAGAAATTGAAACCTGGGCGGTTGATGAGGAAGAAGAAGATTAAAGGTGGAGGGATTGAGAGCGAAAGGTGTAGCTAATCTGAATGTGGAACAGTTTCTGCAATCGAATTCAAAGCCAAATTCAAGAGAGGAAATATTGAATTCTGATTGAGCTAAAATGGAAGGTACGGTACCTAAAGAGAGAGAAAGGAATCGTTGCTGCCATGGTTGGTTAATTCCTCCGTACATTATCCAAATTTTTCCATTTTCTTGAGAAAATTTATAAACATCTGTTGCTATGTTTCTACTATTAAGTTATTATTAATATAGATATCGATGAAAGATTGAAAAAAAATAAAAATAAATATATAATAAGATTACTTCAACATCATTTTAATTTAATGTCCAATTATTAAGTATTTTATTTATTGTATGAATATTTACATAAGATCGAATATAAATTTTAAAAACATTTATAAGATTACGAAATAAAAAATATTTCATTGACTGTTAAAAATTATAAATTAAATATAAAATGTTCAGATGTTTGACATTTTAATTTTGTAAAAATTAATTAATAAATTTTATTTCAATATTAATTCATTATGTTTAATATCAATTAGAAGAAATTTGAAGACTAAATAAAAAACTTAGATTACATAATTAATTAAATAGGAAAATTTTGATTTAGTTTAATATAAACATAAAAAAAATGTGTATTGTAAAAGGATCATGAATTGAAGACAGAGGTTATACGAGAAAGAAGAATAACTATCCATTTCGTAAGAATAAACAACACGAGCTTCAAGTGTGATTCTAATAGTCTACAACGAAGGCAATTTTTCTTTTTTTTCAGACTATATGCTTTATTTCAATACTTGTTTAATTATTGAAAAACATTATATTAGAGATAATTTTAAAAAAAAGCAAAATTTTCTCATATTAGCGTAAATTTTAAAAAATTTATATTTAATTGAGCCTTTTAAAATTTCTTTCCCTATTTTCTCATTTTAAAATGAAAAATTACTGTTTAAGATTTAAATATAACAAAATATATATTAAGCATAATTGCTTCTTACCGTTTTTGTTTATATAAATGTTATATAACTTTTATAATATAAAAATAACGAAATTATCCTTCTTTTATGTTCCCAAACATAATTATATATATAGCTCTGATGTCAATGAACCATGACCGTTGGTGAGAAGCAAGAAATCTTGTACCTATGAGCGGTCAAGATTGCACTTGCTTGTGATAGCACAGAACCACAACCTACGGGTGTGGTATACATGAAAGATTCCCCCAAACATGGTTTTGATTTCATGGTTGAATGAGTGTACTTAATTGACTCCATTTATTTTTGTTCACTCAACTCGGTGGAAGCACTTATATCTAATTTCATGCTTTAAACATGCAAATGCAAGTGTCCTCAGTGTCTTTACAAGCCAAGGTTGGGGTTTGTGTGAAGTCACAACAGCACACGAACCCAGCAACCATAAACGACCACAGTTCCTCGGCCAAGGTGTATGCTCCTAAGTGGACCCAGAAGACAATAACTTTGCCTCCCCATAAACGTGGCTGTCATCTCATCACTTCTAAGGTAAGTGAACTACTCAGCTTATATCAATTATCATTATGTTCCTTCCTTCTTTGTAAAACAATCTCTGTAAGTACAATTATTTGTCGGACTAAAGCCTTTTTGTCCCTCCAACTAAATAGTAACTTATCAGTAAGAAAAATAAATTAATTAGCAAATTACGAAGCATTTTATTGTTAATTTCTTGCTTTTAATCCACAGTTAGGAAAGAGAACAGGTAAAGTTGAAAGATTCATCTTATTATTTTAAGGATAAAACTTAGTAACTGTGTTATTTTTAATCTTTAAGATGAAATTTAAACATTTGGAGGTGGTAATTTTTTGTTATAAATATATTGTTTATTACACTTTTATATTTTACTATATATATTAAATTTTTGTTTATATATAAAAAAAATTAATTACTTAACATCAACTCTTAATATTTTTCTAAAACACAAGTATAATTTTTTACATATTTTTTTGGTTTTTTTTTTATCAAAATTATAATTCCATTATAATAAAATCTCTACATTTAAAGTTACTGTGGATTATCAAATTAAAATTTTAATTTTAATTAAAATATATCGTTAGAAATTTATTAAGAACTGTACCTAAATTTTGTTGTTTTAGGCTATATTTAGTAATATGATCTTATAACTTATTCTTTAAAAACAATAAGTTAGTAGAGCCATATTTGATAACCACAAAATAAAAAAGGCTTTGAAAAGTTGATTGAAGTAGTATTTAGATTTATCTTAGTTTTATGCTTACTCTTTTTTAAACAATATCAACGGTCTTGCTCTTTTAAACAATATCAATAGTCTGTGTATCCTATATGGTGGTGCATGTATAAATTTATGGGGGTTCTATGTTTTTACATTATCGTAAATGCATTGATTTTATTATTATTATTATTAAATCGAATAACCATTTGTTCAGATAGTGAAAGAAATTGGGCAAGAATTGTCTGGATTCAAGTGTGGCCTAGCCCATCTGTTCTGTAAGTATATTTATGTAAACTGGGTCTCCAAATCATAATTATATTCAATTTTGGCTGCATAGAATGAACTTCTAACGAAAAATATATAGTGCATCACACAAGTGCTTCTCTGACCATCAATGAGAATTGTGACTATGATGTTCGAGATGACACAGAAACGTTCCTCAATCGGATAGTTCCTGAGGTTAGATATAAAGTCTGATTTGGTACTTGCAATATATCAACTTATATTAATGTTCTATTACAATCTTACGAGACATGAAATTTCCATGTTTTGCAGGGGCCGTCTGCACCTTGGAAGCATACTATCGAAGGTTAGTTTTTGAATTTTGATAGGCCAAATCAAATCAAGGGATATCTAACTAATTCGATGATATGTTATGGTTTTCTTAAATATTTTTAATCTGAACTTGCACATATACATGATTCCAGGTTCCAATGTTTGGTTGTGCACTCTTGTGAGATACTTCATATATATATGATATATATTACAGATTGATTTATCATGCTATCAAAATATACATTATCAATCTACTGATTATTGTGTTTTCAGGATACCGATTACAAATGGAAAATTTAACATGGGGACATGGCAGGTAATAATAATTTTTTTATGATTTATTCAAAATGTTCTTGGTCAAGATCATTACTGATAACTTTTCTTCTTTTTTTTTTTCCTTTTTGTTGGGAAAAGAAGAAAAATACATTTATCCTTTGAGAATTACCCTTCTAACAGAAAAATAAGATAAAGACAATCACACAAGATGAAAATTCTAAAAACCGGAGAACTCTAAAAACAAACCGAAAAACTCTAAAAACTGGAGAAAAAACTACAATATAACACTCTAATACACCTACACTCTGTGAACATGTAAAGTTACTTTTGTTGACTTTGTATAGTCAATATTGTTGGTTTTGTTTTGGGTGGAAGAAGTAAATGAAAGGAAGCTATGAAGTGGGCTATGGATTAGGTGCATGTACATCCAGCTCATATTGAAGAAAAAATGATGCATGTTGTTCGGTGGCATTTGAAGGCACTGGAACAATTCTTGCCTATAAATACTTGCATCCTTCGTCAGTTTTATGCATCCCATCATCCAACAAAATCGAGTGTAATTTCATAGTGAGTAGAAAAAAATACATAAAGAGAAAAATACAGAGAGATAAAATAGTATCCTTCTGTGAGGTTCTCTTAGTGAGTGAGTTTTTCCTATTTTTCAAGAGAGAGTGTCATTGTTCTCTCCTTGTAAATTGGAGAAAAAAAATTATAATATTTCTTTCACTTAGTAAAAATATTTCTCTGATCTTGCCAGTGATTTTTCCTTTATCTGTTGAGGGTTTTCCACGTAAAATTATTGAGCTTCAGTTCCTCTTTTCTCATCTCTATTTTAGCTGTGTGATATTACTCAGTTACTCTGGTACCTAACAGTGGTATCAGAGCCGATGGTTCGGTAGTATATTCTTAGTATGCTCTGTGGTTGCAGCTTAGTCTGATCTTCCACATCAGAAAAGATTAATTCCTTGTTGTTGGAGAATCATCCACTGGTTGTTGACGCTGCGGTACTATTCATGATTACTATTCACGGTGTGGTTGTATACTTTTGCAGTGATTGTTAACGTATACTGGAATTATTCTAGTGCGAGGTAAAAATATACAATATTGTTCACGTATACTGTACTATTTACGGTAAAATTGTGTAAACCGGTTTAGTTAAAAAAAATGGCGGCGAAATTTGAAATTGAGAAATTCAATGGGAGTAACTTCTCTCTATGGAAATTGAAGATAAAGGCAATTGGTATGGTCAATCGGTTCATGGCAGATCTTGGTAAAGAACATTGGAATGCTGTAAAGAGAATCCTGAGATATGTTAAACGAACCTCTAGTGCTGTATTATATTTTGGAGGATCAAAGTTTATTGTCAAAGGATATGTTGATTCTGATTTTGCAGGTGATCTTGATAAAAGAAAATCTACTACGTGCTATGTGTTTACACTTGCAGGAGGAGTAGTAAGCTGATTATCTAAATTACAATCTGTTGTAGCTTTATCTACTACAGAAGCATAATACATGGCATCGACTCATGCATGCAAAAAAAACAATTTGGATACAAAGGTTATTGGAAGAACTCGAGCACAAGCAACCAAAGATTACGGTGTATTGTGACAGTCAGAGTGCCTTGCATATTGCAAAAAATCCAGCCTTTCATTTCAGGACAAAGCACATAGGGGTACAATACCACTTTGTCAGAGAAGTAGTAGAAGACAGTACTATAGACTTGCAGAAGATTCACACGAAAGATAATCTAGCAGATGTGATGACGAAGCCAATCAATGCAAATAAGTTTACATGGATTAGATCCTCCTCTGGCCAATTGGAAACGTAAGCAACATGGAACTGGCAAGAAGAGAAAGTTTTGAAAGATCACAAAAATGACTTTAAGTGGGAGATTGTGAACATGTAAAGCCACTTTTGTTGACTTTGTATAGTCAATATTGTTGGTTTTGTTTTCGGTGGAAGAAGTAAATGAAAGGAAGCTATGAAGTGGGCTATGGATTAGGTGCATGTACATCCAGCTCATATTGAAGAAAAAATTATGCATGTTGTTCGGTGGCATCTAAAGGCACTGGAACAATCCTTGCCTATAAATACTTGCATCCTCCGTCAGTTTTATGCATCCCATCATCCAACACAATCGAGTATAATTTCATAGTGAGTAGAAAAAATACATAGAGAGAAAAATACAGAGAGATAAAATAGTATTCTTCTGTGAGGTTCTCTTAGTGAGTGAGTTTTTCCTATTTTTCAAGAGAGAGTGTCATTATTCTCTCCTTGTAAATTGGAGAAAAAAAATTGTAATATTTCTTTCACTTAATAAAAATATTTCTCTGATCTTACCTGTGATTTTTCCCTTATCTGTTAAGAGTTTTCCACGTAAAATTATTGAGTTTCAGTTCCTCTTTTCTCATCTCTATTTTAGCTGTGTAATATTACTCGGTTACTCTGGTACCTAACACACTCTCCCTTATCCCAATTACACCTACACTCTCCAAAGCAAGTAACTAAACTAAACCTCACAACACTCTAATACAAGAGTATAAAAAAAGTCAAATATAAGCTTAAAGTCAACCTCACAACACTCTAATACAAGAATATAAAAAAAGTCAGATACAAGCTTAAAATATTTCTGACTAGAATGCCTTGATACCATGGACTTAGGTCTATTATATAGACTTGTTCACTTACTCCCTTGTTCATTCCAGGCGATGTGAGACTTCTTCTAACATACCTTAAACAATATAAAATTTTCAAGATGTACTATTTTCATCCATCTCAACACTTTTCTAATCGAATTTCTTTGAGGCTGGATTATAATAGCTTCAAAATTATTAATATAATATAACTTTTCATTATGGTGAAGGGTATATGGCTGTGTGAGCATCGGGATTATCCTACATCGCGTACAGTTGTCGTCACTCTTAATGGAATATGAAATGCTCAGAGGTCTATTTGCTTAACTTCATTATTATCAAGATTACGTGCATTTTTTGCTTGAGAATGTATGGATCATCTCTGAAGCTATAATAGTTTTTTCATAGGTTAAGTTTGAGTACTTTGCTATATGGACACAATTGTAAAACTCTTTTTTATCATTGAATGCATTTGATCATTCTTCGTGAGCATTTCCAATGTACTCTTTGTCTTACATTAAGTAGCATCACTTAAGTATTTTTAATTTATTTGTTACTTTAACATATTAAAAATTATTATTTTAATAATATTTTTATTTAGAAAAAATAATTTTGTCAACTTACTAAAAGTGTATGTGTGTATAAAAGACTCTTTACCCATAATTGAAGATAATTTCGCTTCTAATCATAAGCTTTCAAAAAAATTTTGTAACAAGTAAACTATTATCTACTTCGTCTTATGTTATAATTGGATGAAGTAAACATGAACTGAAAAATAAAGCATGGAAAACAATGAGGCTTTTAATCGATCGATGTGTGAATTTTCAAAGGAGAAATCATGGTCTCAATAATAATGGGATTCTAGTTAAATGAAAAGTGTTACGTAAACATGCCAATCATTGACCAAGGTTCCAAAACAAGAAGAAGGGAATTAATGTATGATGATGATTAATAATATGAGAACTTTTAGCCTTGGAGCATGTTCACGCCTTTAAAGTGCCTCCACTTGTCTGTGACACGCTGAAAAATGAGTCGTGACAAAGCTTTTGGTTTCGTGGTTTTAAAAGTATTAAGTGGAATATGTGTTTATTAATACACATTGTTTACCAAAACCACCAAATAATCATCATCAATCATCGGAAGTAAGCATTGAATATTCTCCATCTACTATAAACAAATTTAACTAGGAGAAGTTGGAAGTTCAAACTATTAATTATATGAAGAGAGTGATTTTCCCAACTGATGAGATCAACTATTTTGTTTTTTTATTATAAGACTTGTCTTTGGGTTAATGATAAACGGATAATAACATCTTTCTAAGTGCTTGCAATGAATAAATTATATAAAACATAGACTGTATCAGATGAATAAAAAATAATTGATTTCATTGAACATCTTATCCAGTGCTTTTGTTTGATAGTACAGTAGTAGTGGGGTTTTTATGTTTGGTTATGTTAGATTAACTTCGATTTTTCTATAACATATGAGCTTTTCTTAATCCCTCAAATCAGTGTATTTTATGTAAATGTTTTTGTTATGAAAGGTTTAGGTATGTTCATCCATCGTTCAAATATAGGCAACCGAACAAGTTCTTCTGTATCAGTACTTTTTATATAAGTTTTTTTAGCAGCTTTTTCTTTTTCAAATATAATTATATTATATTACTCATTAAATTTTTTTACAATATTCGGTAGAAAAGGGTGAGTTCATTGATTGATTCGACTTTCTGTTTGTCATATGCGTTTGAAGTTCCAACTAAATTTGGACTGAAAAAAAATTATAGAAAATATACTCAAAACTTTAGTAACGAATGTTTTAAAAGTACTGCTTAAAAATGTAAGTTAAAAATATCTAATCAATATTTTTGTTAGTTACGATTTAAAAAAAAAAGAAATGGTTTTTTATTGAGGAAAAATATTTACAGAATAAATAATTTAACACGCAGTTAATTTTCAAACTAGTTGATAGTTTATGTTTCTAAAATAATAAATATTTTACTTTTATTATATATATACTTTTTTATTTTCTTAACCAAAAATCTAAACACAATTGGTGGTTAATTATTAAAAAAAAGGCTTTATTCTTCTAAAAATTTATCTAAATATAAGAATTTATAGAGTTATTTAAAAATTTCGTATGTATGACTCATGCGACCGAAAATTTTCTTCCTTAACTTTGTTGTCCTGAATACTTTAAGAATATTTATTAATATTTTATATTTTACTATTTTTGAAAATTGATAGTGTATTCGTTACTAAAATTAGTGAATTAAAATCGAACAAAAGATATATGCTATTTTAAATTTTATTTTACGTAAGATGAATCTTGTCCTCTCCAAACCATATATATTATCAATTTATCATGATAATAAGTATATGAAAAATAGCCATCATTACTGAAATCTTGTTTCGATTTAATTGTTAAAGTAAGCTACAACTATAATTCATTACATGATTGGATTTAGCAGTTTTTTCTTCAAAAGTTTACTCCGTAGAATTTTAATTATATGTTAATTTTTACTATAAAATAAACATCTAAAAAGTAGAGTAGATTCAAAGTCACATCATAATAAGAAGTTCAATGCAAATACATGCATGTTTGTTTCTGAATACGCATGTTCATCCTGTAAAAATTTACTTTATGTTCTGTCAACTTATATCCGCGTTCAAAATAATCAATGTTATCACCTAAACATGTAGTAATTATTTTGGATGCCCCAAACATGTAGTAAATTAATCCTTTAAATATGTTGTCCTATTTAAGAAACATTTCGTAAATGGATGTTGGAGCAATAAATGTTTATTTTAATTTTACATGAAGCTGGGTATTCTTTTGTCTGAAAAAATAAAATAAATAGAGATAATTGTATATATAAAACCACTTTATAATTATAAATATAGCTCGTTCTATTAACTGGACATGGCTAATTACACCTACTAATACAGATTTTAATTAGTTAACTCAGAATTTGATATGCAAATGAGGTTTCCCTCCAATGTTCCCTTTTTCATTCTCATCGAAAATTTGAAATTTGAAGTTAATACTTACAAAATAGAAAGGGAGAGGGTGAATAAAGAGCTACTTGTTAAAGGTAAGAATTACATCGCTAATTGAAGAACTAATGGGAGTTAGAATCTCTTACTTTTTAGTGGGGACTCAGATTACTGTTTAGTAAAGCTCAATTGGCACAATTAACAACTTTACTTCTATATTTGTCATTACATGGTTCTCTAATAGAAATTTTTACCCTATTAAAAACTCTTAACTGGGAGAAATTAATATTTATATTCTTAAATCATTATGCTGAGCTATGAAGCCATAAATTATGAGACAAAAAAATGAACTCAAAGTGTGAGTTTAACTTTAAATAAATCATCAATGAATGAATATTTCTCCATAAATAGAGGCAAACAAGAAAGTAGGCTAATCATTGTTCCATAGATATATGTTTTTTAATGGATACGTATACTTTTAGCTTTGTTTAAGCAAATGGTTTTCCTTATGTCCTTCTACAACTTTTTTATTTATTTATAATTCTCTTAGAAATATTTATTTTGTTAAAAACATGAAAATCATTTAATATTTTTTTAATAATTAGAAACGTTTATGGATATAAAAAATAGAAGGATTTGGAATTATTTTTTCATGTCTCTCAATTATATCTCACTTTATATTTTTCTTATTTTCTCATTACATTATCTATCACATTTATAATTTATCACCTTTTTTTCTTTTTCCTTTCTATTTCTCTTCTACCTTACTATTTTTTTTAATGACAAAAAGTTAAAGAAATGGTGTAAAAAGAGAATAAGTAAAAAAAAAAAAATACCATTTATTAAATGACAAGGATTTCATATTTTAATAATTTAAAAACATTCAACACTTTTTTCCCTGGTAATTAAGAGGAGAAATAAATATTAAGCTTTTCCCTAATTATACCCATCATTACATAATAAAAACTATGATATTCTTATAATCAAATCAATTAACCATCTCAAATTTTAAGTCATTTCCTTATTCATCCAATTACAAAATGATATATAAGTAAACAAAAAATAATCAAGAGGGAGAATCTTATTATTTAATTGTGAGAGATTTTTTTAAAGTGTTATTTTATTCAATTTAAGGATAAAAAGGAAACACAAGAGAAAGGAAATCTGAATCCATTATCGATAAAGTAAATATGAATTTTTCTGGCTTATTCTTTAATGTATTAACTCTGTCACCTTTTGTTGCCATTTATGTCTTGAAAAAGGCACTGCTATTCCATATTTATACAAGACAAAGCATTTAATTTGAGCTAACGGACCCCAAAGTACCCATGCAACGCAGTTATCCTATCCTATACGGACATTTTCATACTCTCCTTAGAGATGAAAACCATCTGCATTTTTTATTATTATTTAAAAATTATTAAATATAATAAAAAATATATAAAATTTACTATTAATTTAATAATTTTTATTTTTATTCTTATAACTTTAATTAAATTTTAATTAATAGTAAAAAATAATATATCCCTCTTCTCCCGGTGTTCTTAAAAGTTCACAGACATCCCTTTGACTCTCTCTTCACTCTTATAAACCGTTGTGTCTGTGTCTCCGCCTGTGCAAGACACAGAGGGAGAGAACAACACATAGCACACTTAACACACCCCACTGTTGTTGTTTTCTTTCACATTTGACAGCAAAAAGGTTTGTCCTCTGTTTCTGCTATCTGCATGAAAACAGAGTCCTCTGTTTTGTATTTATTGCAATGAAGTATATGCGGAGCAACAGCTTAAAGAGGCTCTTTTCCTTCGGAAGACGCGGTTTTGGGGAAGAGAACGATGTGGGATTGGTGGTTCCTCCTTATGTACAGAACCCTCCAAGACCCTCTTGGAAATGCTTCTCTTATGAAGAGTTATTTGATGCCACCAATGGCTTTAGCTCAGGTATATGATGATGGCACCATTTTTGTTTCGTTTTGTTTCAAAAAACCAATTGCTTTTCTTTGTGATATTGTGCAGGAAATTTGATTGGGAAAGGAGGATATGCAGAGGTTTACAAGGGAAGGTTGAATGGTGGTGAAGAAATTGCAGTGAAGAGGCTCACTAGAACTTCGAGGGATGAGAGAAAGGAGAAGGAGTTTCTGACTGAGATTGGAACAATTGGTCACGCGCGTCACTCCAACGTGTTGCCTCTTCTAGGATGTTGTATTGACAATGGACTTTACCTCGTTTTTGAGCTATCCACTGTTGGTTCTGTTGCTTCCCTTATTCATGGTACATGAATCAAAATCATCAAACAAACAAAAATGAGAAAATATAAATGCAATCTTTTTTTAAAATAGAATTTTGGGCTGCTAAACTTGCTATGTGAAATGGGTTTGCAGAAAACAATTAATAAAGCGGGTTGAGTCTTAATGAATAGTTTGTGAATGTTGTTTGTAGACGAGAAAGTTCCTCCTTTGGATTGGAAAACAAGGTATAAGATAGCTATTGGGACTGCACGTGGCCTTCACTACTTGCATAAAGGTTGCAAGAGGAGGATAATCCACAGGGACATCAAGGCCTCAAACATTCTGTTGACGGCAGATTTTGAGCCAAAGGTTCTAATAATTTGTACTCTTCTTAACTATTTTAGTCGAATCTGGTGATTTTGAATTTTGATGGGTTTGTTTATTTATTCCCTTGTTTGATATTGTGTCAGATATCTGATTTTGGCCTAGCAAGGTGGCTTCCATCTCAGTGGACTCATCATTCTATAGCCCCAATAGAAGGGACATTTGGGTACCCTTTTATTTTATTTGTCAATACCCTTCAGTGATTAATATCATATCAATGTAATAGTATACTATATTGAAACAAAAACGTGGTTTTTAAATGGTAATGTCTTGTTCTTATCTTTTGTAGGCATTTGGCACCTGAGTACTACATGCATGGAGTTGTGGATGAGAAGACAGATGTATTTGCCTTTGGTGTTTTCTTGCTTGAAGTCATTTCTGGGAGGAAACCGGTTGATGGGTCTCACCAAAGCTTGCACAGCTTGGTAGTAACCCCTACCTTTGATCATGAAACTCGTGTTATTTTATGAACTTGCCGTGTGCCATAGGAAATCCCACATTTTAGTTAGCTCTAGATTTAGGCTAGACTAACGGTGATTTGTAATATTACATTGATTAATTTATTTAAACTTTTTTTGGGGTAATTAACTGTGTGTTATGACTTGATAGGCTAAACAAATATTAAATAAAGGTGAGATAGAAAAGCTGGTAGATCCAAAGCTTGGAGGGGCTTATGATGTGACACAGTTTAATAGACTTGCCTTTGCTGCCTCGCTGTGCATTCGAGCATCTGCAACTTGGCGACCTACCATGAGTGAGGTAGCTCAAATACCTTTGTTTCTTAACTTCGCTAATACTTTTCAAAATTTATATATTTATTTATTGAAAAATGTTAACATCAGTTCTTAGACACATTCATTATATTAAAAATATAAAAGCATAATAAATGTTATTTTTATCAATAGAAACTTATTATATACTTAAATAAAAATTAAAACTAACAAAACTGTTACTTATTTGTTGAGTTAGGTTATTTTGTTTTTAGCCATAAAGAATAGCTTCCAAGTTAACAGAGAGATTCAGCCCTGATTCTCAAGTTCAACATGTTACATTGGCTGGGAGCTAGGCTGATAGCTGGTTGCGTTTGAACTTTATTGATTTCAATTTTATGTATAAAAGAATAACTTGGTGTCTCAACTCTGAAAAACTAGTAATCGAGTCTTTTTCTTTTCTTTTCTTTTCTTTTTCTGTCATGAAACTAATCACCAACTTTATTTTGGTCATCTAACTGGTATAACCACCACGGCGTTGCATAAGTAACACCATTTAATGTTTTATAAAATTATATCATATTAGGTAGAATAGTCTGTGTCTGTGTCTGGTCCCCTTGTTTTTTCCTCTTCAATCCCATTTGCACAGCAAAATTTTGTTGTTAATTCTTATGACCTCTAAAGCCTCAGCAGCAAATTACATCATATAACAGCATGATATTGGAACTTATTATCGTGTATTGAATTCGTGGAATTTAAAATTTTGTAATCGGACATATACTCACATCGTTGGTGGATCAAAAGATGGTTAACTGTAAAATTTCAAATTACATTTTTTTTTTCGGCTTCATTAATCAATCTTCTAAAAAAGTATATTATTGATGAGCTCAATTTTCCATCAGCTTTGTCATTTTGTGTCACTTTCTATTAGCATGTGATGCGTGTCCAAGAATCCAATTATGGCCATTTAGTTAACCTCAAAGAGACAAATATACCATATTGAGTTTTCAAATAATCAAGTATATAAATATAATACCATAATGTCAGCTGTCATTGTTTTCAGTCACGATGTTCCTTAGATGACCGTACTATTCAATAGTCAAATATGTGATGTAAGAACTTTGATTCATTTCATTTTTTTTTTTTCAATTGTTACTGACAGCCTATTGTTATTTCTGCCTTTCTTTTTATCCATGTAAATTAATTAACAAGTTGATGTTCTGTCCTACCTAACTTTGATTAACCATCATGCTAATAACAACAAACAATATGATAATCTTAAATTTGATTTTGGTATTAAACAAAGTAACATCATACAATGTGGTTACATGCTTGGAAATACTAGGAAGCCAATTAGAAGGCCATTACTCATTGTATTTTGACTTGAAAGTATTGAACTTGTTATGTAAAATGTATATTAGTCTTTTCTTTTGCTTTTGATTTTTAATGTAGTTTCTCCTATAGTTGATCTTTGTGTTTCAATGGTCTAACTTATTGTTTTCATGAATTGAAAGGTATTGGAAGCAATGGAGGGGAGGGAAATGGATAAAGAGAAGTGGGTAATGCCAAAGGAAGAAGAGCAAGAAGAAGAATTTTGGGATTTTCAGGATCTGGAATACGCATATGACAGTTCCTTTTCAATTTCTCTACCTGACTCCATTGGAAGTACTTAGGGTGAAGGAGTTAGGTGCAACTTTCAACTACATGTATATATAGATATATGTTACATAAATATAAAGGAACAGAGAAGTTTTTTTTATTAAGGTTGTTGAACTTAAGAGTTTAGTAAAATTAAAATCGTGGGAAGTTGGTGAATTCAACTCATAAATTTGTAATAATTTACTAAATACCTAAATAAATTTTAAAAATTAATCTTAGTATATAAGTGAAATACAGTACCATAAAATAATGATTCCAACTTATAATAAAGCACACTATGCAGTGTTTGTGTTGGCTGTGATGGAATATTTGTCAAAATTCAACAAAATTATTAAAATTCTAAACTTACTCAATTTCTTCTCTATGTATATAAATAAATAAAAACTCATTTTTGACGTTTAAAAAATCGTTGATTAAAAAGTGCATGCACAGTATTAATATGCCATCTGCCCCAGCCACCTGCAATTCTTAATGTACACGTTTTTTTTTTAAATGTTTTTTTGGGGAAGAGGTTGACCTATTCAGAAGTCAAGGTATCATGAGTAATGATATTATTTACAGATAATTAATTTTATTAATAAAAATAAAACCTATTTCTATATTCTGTTTTTGTCAATATTTATTCATATCTGTTTTCTACAGTTGATTATGTTACACTTAAATAGTTTTGAGTTGTTAGTTTAAAAGAAAATATTGCATAAAAAAAAAAGAATATTTGTATAGGTAATTGTTATATAGAAGAAAATAAGAGACAAGTATATGCATGAATAGATAAATTATATAATTATTGTCTAATCATAAAGATAAGGATGCTCTGTTCTAGCAGATTGATTCACATTAAAAAATCCCAAATTTGGTACAGAGAATAATCAAACACAGTTCCTCTACTTCTGGATACATGGATCCAAAGCTACGCCACATGTAATTGTCTGCTTTATAAATATTTTAGTAGTGTGTTTGTTAATATATTTTTAAGATATATATAAGACAAATAAAAAAAAATAATTGTATATAAATAGTGTATGGTAGAGTGAGGTATTATTAATTGCACGCTTGTGAACAAAGATTCTGTTTTAGAATTATAGTGGTTTAGGTGGTTCGGCATTCTAATGCATTATAATCGTAGAACGAAAATATTAGCAGCAACATAATTTTTTTAATATATTTTTTAACTTAAAATTTATTAAAAATTACAAAAATGCAATAAAAAATATTAAATTAAAATAAAAAAATTCATGTAATTTTTATAAATTTTAAGCAATAAAATATAGTATATTAAAAAGAACATTTCTGTTAATTAATTGAGAGTGAATATTTTATCTTTAAGATACTAATTTAATAATAAATTAAAAATTTAAAACACTAATTAAAGTTAAAATCTTTTAAAAGATTAATATAAAGATTAAAAACTCATATAAGAGGTTTTGATGGCAATATTTTATTATTTTATAATTTCATTACTCGCATATCTGAATTTTATTGCCATGCCTAGACATATTATTGGGATATTTTATTTTATTTTTTGTTTGAAGAACATGGTAAAATTCAATCAAAACACTTTGACCTAATTTGGATTGAGTAGGTTATAGGTACATGCAGCAATGTGATGAGATGGGCACGTATAGTGGATATTTGCTACTTCCAATTGCGAGTTAAAATTTGTCTCATATCTATCCATGTTTCTATAAAATGAGTTTTAAACAAATTTATGATTGCTTACGAATAGCCATATACATCTATAGATACTTATAAAAAAAATATAAAAATAAATCTCACAGCAACCTAATTGAACATATCTTTTATAAAAAAATCTTGATTAAGAAAATAAAACAAGTTAATTATAAAAATAATTTACTATTCTGTTTCAATGACGATAACATAATACTACATTATTATTAACAAATAAAAAAGTTAACAGCATATTTATTTTAATATAGAAATAATTTAATGATGTTATTGACAAATATCTCATTGATCGAACTCACCACTTAGAGACATATGCAAGAGCAATGGACATTCAATTTAGACGAAGGGAAAAAAAAGGTCTTTTTTTTTTAAAAATATTAACACTATTGTAAAGTGATTATTTATATAGGCTTAATTAATTCTGTAGTTATTGCAAATTGCATGAACATTTGAGAGTAGAAAAGGATAATGTATTTAAATGAGTCATGACGAAAATCAGTAACGTCAGTGAAAGATTGAAATTGTTTTTGTCCAAGTGTATTGAAGTCAAAACGAAGACCATGAACTTCAACCCTCCCAGTGTAATCCAAATGAGGATTTAGTGTGTGAACAATGGTGTTTTAGGGCAGTTTTATCTCAGACTAAATCCCTACATGGAATATTTTAATTTTAATTTTTTAAGGGTATGCCCCAATATCATCTTAGGACAATTAGACGAATTCATTAATTGCCTCAAGTTACGTAAGTAACAACACTAGATGTCTTTATTTTCTATAAAAATGATGATATCAACTAAAAGACCAAGAATTTTTTATACACATACATACGTAGAATTTACTAAACATAAAGTCAGCGATTACTCTCTTATATTTTAAAATGGATACAAAATAAATAAACGTATTTGGGATAATTATGTAAAAGATTTGTTAAATAATAAATTAATAACTGAAATTTAAGCACCAAGACAAAATAAAAGTTAAATATGTTTATTTACAAATATAGAAAATTTAGGATGACTGTATGTAATTTTCTGAAAATAATAATAATAACGATATATCTTAAAATTATATTCTTAATTTTTTAAACTCTTAAAGATTTAGGTATGATACTTTATTTAAAAGAGACCTGTTGCCTTATTTAACAATCTTATTATAAAATACATTTTTAAATAAATTTTTAGGCCAAACTAAACTTTACAAATGATACGACAGGCATTAAAAAAGTGAATACCTGATCAGTGTCTTTTATTTTGGAAAATAAGCTAAACTTGTTCAAAGTAAAGGTTTAAGAACCGTATTATATTTGATAGTATTTGGGATTGAGAATATAAAAACCATATAAATATGGATTGTATAATTCCCTCCACATATTAGAGAAGGCACCAACTACTAATATCTTGTAGTTTGAGTTTGCTTCTTATTTGTTTCCCTTTTGAACACAGTGAAAAAAATGGAAGATAACTTGAAGAGAAGCAACTTTGAAGTGTTGGGAATGTGCTGTGCCACAGAAGCGGCACTGGTTGAAAGAATTCTGAAGCCTCTGCATGGAGTCAAAGATATCTCAGTGATAGTCCCTACCCGAACAGTCACTGTGGTCCATGATATTCTCTTGATTTCTCAGTCACAAATAGGTGACTTCTATTCTCTACTATTTTCTCTTCACTTTCCTTTGGTGCTGAATTTTTTACATGAATTGGTTATCCAGGGATACATTTAAATTTCTAATATGTAAGTTGACTAGTTCCTTATGTCATAGCTCTCATATCATAGCCTCTTTTATTACTTGGATTTCCTGTGGTGTGTTACTATATGCTTTTTACAGTATGTTCATTGATCAAATGGTTTAATGCATCTCTTTTGAAGAGTTTATAAATGACTTATGATAAACAACTATTTTCAGCTCATTTTAATAAACTTTTTGGGTCCAATTTGGGTAAACCTAGTCCTTATAAGAAAAAATTCAAAATAAGTTGTTTAGATCTTATAAGAGAAGTTGTATTCATTTTTTTAATGATTTTGTTTTACGTGAACAAGGACTTTAAAATGAGAAGCTTTCTATCTTCATAGGCTTTCTAAGGGATTGTAAATACTTGTAATTCTATCCAATTGCATGGTAGTTTGTTTCCAATTAAGGTGAAAAATCTTATCAGTCATTGTTTTATTTTCTTCGAAGAGACACGACCTATATGTCTTGATTTTAATTATTTGATTGTGTCAGCTGATGCACTGAATGCTGCAAGGCTTGAAGCCAGTTTAAGTCTACAGGGAGAGACTGATAATGACAAGAAACGGCCAGATTTACCAACAATGGCATGTGGATTTTTATTGGCACTTTCTTTCTTGAAGTATATATATCACCCTTTGGGATGGTTGGCACTTGGTTCTGTTGTCATTGGCTTCCCTAAGGTTCTATTCAGGGCTATAGCCTCCATTAAGGCTCTCACTCTTAATATCAACATTCTTGTTCTATTAGCAGGTAAATTTTCTACATCTGTGACATATGATGGAATTATATTTTTATTTATTACACACTGAGAAATGGGTAAGCGGTACTGCTGTAAATTACTTACCAAAGAATATGTATACATCTGTGACATATGATGGAATGTTCTGTTTGTGACGTTTCCCCATTCATATCTTACAGTGTGTGGCACTGCTGCTTTACAAGATTTTTGGGAGGCAGGAGTCATCATATTCCTGTTCTCCATTGCTCAATGGCTTGAGACAAGAGCAACTCACAAGGTTGGTGACATTACTTCCCTTTTTTCTCTTAAACAGTTTGCAGCTTTTTCTTACTTCATTAACTCTTCCTATTTGATTAATACCAAATTGTTTTCTTTTAATGTGAAATTGTGAATATTAATGTACACTAGCTTCCTTCTATACGGCATAATGTTAAGTCAATTTTCTTAATGTTTTGTTTGACAACTCCTGCCAATGACTAATTGTGGTTGAGTATTCCCTAAGAAGTGTGCAGTATCAGGTTAAATGAAAACTAACAATGATTTCTTAAGACTTTAAGGATATGTTTGAGGCATAAGCAAAGTTCAATTTTATATGATCCCTTTGCTCTTGACTAAAGATGGATTCAGCTATAATTCTAGTCTATACTCTTATTATCAAATCTTGAAGTATTTCTGTTTTCTTCTCTGCCACACTTAATTCATTGCTAAGTTGGTAATACTTAACTATGCTACAAGAAAACATTTCAATTGAATGCCAATGCATGTACAAAGTACAAAGTGATAAGGAAGTTCAAGTTACATGAATTTCACTATTATATTCAATATGATTTCTCAAATTCCAATTATATTTTCTCTCAAATTAATCTTCGTGCTTATTGCCGAATCATCACAAGTTTTCCTTGTTTCTCAAGGTGTTTTCAGTTTTATTACAGATATCTCTGGAACTTCGATTCATATCTGGAATTATTAAGATTATATGCTTTTAGAACTAGTTCAGAATTATTAACAATGCAAGCCTGCAAAGAGGAGCTTGAAAGATAAGGCAAGAATCTTAGAACTAAGTTGAGGGGAGAGTGTGTTAATGTGTATGAGAATTGTACACCAAATCAAAGCAGCCTGTGTTATCATGGGCAAGTTTACGCAACAAATATATGTATCTTTATGATAATGGTTTGTCTAATTGAACATGCTCCAGCTGAATCTTCTTGGTCTATTATTATATTATATTTATAATTACTTTTGATTCTTGACACTCATAAACATAGATTAGTTCTTGGAGTTAGAAACATGAAAAATTTAATCAAAGAACAAATGATAAACAGACCTGATTTATGTTAAACATTTGACATTTGACATTTGAGTTTTAAGTCAATGCTTCCTTCATTACATACTTAGGCAGTGGTTGCGATGTCCTCATTAACGAACATGGCTCCGCAAAAGGCCGTTGTTGCTGAAACTGGGGAGCGTGTTGATGTCAATGATGTAAAGATTAATACCATCCTTGTGGTTAAGGCTGGCGATGATATTCCTCTTGATGGAGTTGTGGTGGAAGGAAAGTGTGAAGTTGACGAAAAGATGTTGACAGGAGAATCATTCCCTGTAACCAAAGAGTTAGATTCATTAGTCTGGGCTGGAACTATTAATCTGAACGGTTAAGTATCTAGTTATCTCTTATGTTTTTCTACTAAAATAGTACTCCTAATATACTTTTGGGTATATATGATTCTAGGATATATAAGTGTAAAAACTACTGTGTTGGCAAAAGACACAATGGTGGCAAGAATGTCAAAGCTTGTTGAAGAGGCTTCTAGCAGAAAATCTCGAACACAAAGATTCATAGACAATTTTGCCAGGTACTATATTCCTGGTAAGTATTAAGTGCATGCACCAACTTTCTCCTTTTTGTGAAAGTGAAGAAGAAAAATCCTTCATTGATGTTATTTTCACTTCCAAAGTAATATTTTGATTGATAAATATCCTGGAGAACTTCATTATCCCAGTAAATACTGATATTTACATTAATTTATGTTATATTGCAGCTGTTGTCTTGATTTCAGCAAGCATTGCTGTGGTTCCGGCTGCATTAAGAGTTCCTGATATTACGCCTTGGTTTCATCTGGCCATTGTGGTTTTATTGAGTGCATGCCCTTGTGCTCTCATCCTCTCCACACCTGTTGCAATCTTTTGTGCTCTTACAAAAGCTGCAATCAGTGGATTACTATTTAAAGGTGGAGATTATATTGAAACACTTTCTGGAATTAAGACAGTGGCTATTGATAAAACGGGCACTATAACAAGAGGAGAGTTCACTGTGACAGATTTTTCTGTTGTACAGGACATAAGCATTGAAACTTTATTGTACTGGTAATTTTATAATTTAAACAAGTGTTAATACAGCATGTCTGGAGAATTCATGATTCTTTCAATGATATATTCATTTTGTTAATGTAAACTTTGTAGGGTTTCAAGTGTTGAGAGTAAATCAAGTCATCCGATGGCAGCTGCACTAGTGGAATATGGAATGTTGCACTCTGTCAAGGCAATGCCTGAAAATGTGGAGAATTTTCAAAATTTTCCGGGGGAAGGTGTTGTTGGTACAATTGATGGGATAGATATTTATATAGGAAATAGGAGAATTGGTGCTAGAGCTGGTTCTGAAAGAGGTGATTATAAAATTGCATCTTTAATTTCATAAATTAATTCTTGTAGACTTCTATAATTTTGAATATCCGAATGTTTGTGTGTTTTTTTCCACGTGCTGTTTCTTTGGTCATCCTTGTCTAATGACAAATTCGAATGCTTAATACACATTTTTTCCTAGTAGTATAAAATCGTATTTGGAGTCTCGTTTGTGAAACAATTTAGGTTTGTTTCAATATACTTTTGATACATGCTGATATTTATGTGCTTATCATTTTACTTGTGAAGTTGTGATAGTTTATGATCTATAATTAAATTATTCCATCCTATTTAGTTGATTGTGACATGCAATTTCAAAGCCACGAAATTTCTACCCCGAAACAATGCTGTGGACCAACCCTTGTTGGAGTCTTCAACTTATCTGATACATGCAGATCAGGTGTTTTGGAGGCAATAGAAGAGCTAAAGTTGTTAGGTGTGAGGTCAGTCATGCTGACAGGAGATAGCACTCAGGCTGCTAAGCATGTTGAGAGTCAAGTACGTTCACAATAATCTACACACTATTTAATCAGCAATCTTAGGACAAAATGACAAATTTGTTATGTAGAAATCCCACATCGACCACAGATATTGCTAAGAGCTTATAAGGACTAAAGTAATCCTCACATTATAAGCTAGTTTTTTGGGTTGACTTAGACCAAAGTCCAGAATTTAAGATGTTACTTTGATAAACTTCATTACTAACAATGTCAATTTTCTTTTTCTAACTGAAAAGATCAACCCTCTTTAGTTTTGGTGATTGATATTGCTTATTATGACTTATATTAAGAAAATTGTTGACTTACTCTCTGCAGTTGAACCATGCTCTAGACATTGTTCATGCAGAACTTCTACCTGCGGAAAAGGCCATGATCATTGATAATTTCAAGAAAGATGGGATAACAGCAATGATTGGAGATGGCGTGAATGATGCTCCTGCATTAGCTACAGCTGACATTGGCATCTCAATGGGAATATCTGGCTCAGCTCTAGCAAATGAAACAGGCAATGCAATTCTCATGTCAAATGACATGAGAAAAATACCTGAAGCTATTCGGCTAGCAAGAAAAACTATGAGAAAGCTCATTGAGAATGTCATTATTTCAATTGGCTTCAAGAGTGCCATTCTGGCATTGGCAATCTCAGGACACCCAATAGTTTGGCTTGCAGTGTTGACTGATGTTGGGACCTGTTTACTTGTGATTCTCAATAGCATGTTACTTCTAGAAGAGAAACCAAAACATGAAAGAGAATCTACTAGCTCTAAATATGGCACCTTCTTGGAAGATAAGACCATAACTTTACTTGACAAGAACTATAATAGTAATGAGAACCAAGTGCTTCTTACTAAAGAAAAGTGTGGTAAAGAGTGCTGTAAAAATGTCAATCATCATGTGGCAACTGTTGAAGTTCATATAGTGAAATCTTGCAATGGTTGCTGTCTAGGAAAAGTCAAAATGTGTGAGGATTCTTCATACAGAACAAATAATAGGTGTGCTAGTTGGCAAGTGCACTACAAGACTAAAAAATGTGGCACTGGTTCTGTTGTGACACAAGATGAGAAAATTGCTGCTACCTTGGAGTCTGTTGGCTATAAAATAGAGTCTATGGATGATGTTTCAGAGTTGTCTGAGACAAGTGGGATTCCAATGTGCTGCAAGAATCGATGCTGTAATGATAGAGTAAACAATATCAGTAGCCTTAACAAGCCAGAAATTATTATTGAGTGATTAGCGTTTCAGCATGCGACTTTAGTTTCATGCAATAAGTATAGGATTTTGGTGTGACATTTATGAAGTCGCACTCTCTTAATTCAATAGTAAGTTTTTGTTATGTGCTTCTCTTAGGCCTTTCATCATGATCATTGTAATTTGAACTTAATTCTTATTAATTAATTTCCCAGAGTAATTTTTATTTTTTTTTGTGAAATTTCGATGAAATTGAGCAAAACTAGAATCGAGGAGCGATTATTAGTTCTCATTTTTATTTTAATATTAATTTAAATTTTGAATATTTCATAAGCTTCTTTTTTAATTTAAATTTATCTCTTTGTTTAATTTTTTTTTTTTAATGTGAGCCAACCATCAACTAGTCACTAGTTTAGTCTGAAAAACAACGTACAAAACAGTATTGGAAATTAACTAGGCACAAAATTTATGAGATGTCTTTTAGTTATTGTTAGTACTGTTTATCAATTAACATCAGAATTTAGTAAATAACATCAATAATACTTAAATGACTTGATCTTGTTTTTTAATTTGAGAAATTGGGTGACCGACCGAATTGACTCCCCATGAAAAGACAAAAATGAAAAACTTTACTGAAATACAAGTCTCCGCTGCCTTGAATAAGCATTTAATCTCACAAACCGTGTTTTGACTAAGCTTGGTGGTCATGCATAGAATATAATAAATGTTACTAAGCTTCACAAAACAAATAAATTGCAAGCTATAGAATTTCATTATTAGTTGCTCTCTTCCTTTCACTTTTGTTCATCACTATCATTTTAGTCTTTTGAATTCTTATCTCTTGTTTAATGTCACCCAATATTATCATCGGTATAGGTAGGATTTTAACCTATGATATCTTTATATTTTCATCTAATTCTGTTCTATGTCCTCTTATTGGTATTTTAGTGACAAGAGTTTGTTCTGACTGAAAACTAACACATGTTGCAGTTGTCGCTCTTGTGCTGATAAGTATTGTGATTTGGTTAATGCCTGAATGCTTAAGAACATATCAGATTGGTCGTAGATTGGTTACACCAGACAAAGAATTTATGATACTAACTATGGATAAATTTCTGAATGAGATGGAAAAAGAGAAACCAATGAGGTTCACTGATCAGCATCTAAAAATTGCAACTGATAACTACTCTTACTTGTTGGGTTCAGCAGGTTTTGGAGCTGTTTATAAGTTAATTTTTAGTGATGGAACTCTTGTAGCTGTGAAGGTTCTACATGGGAGTTCTAACAAGAGAGTTGAGGAGCAGTTTATGGCAGAAGTTGGTACAATTGGTAAAGTTCATCATTTCAATCTTGTTAGGCTCTATGGATTTTGCTTTGAAAGAAACTCTTCATCACTAGTTTATGAGTACATGGAGAATGGTTCTCTTGTATATATTTCGTGAAACCAATACTAATAGGATTTGAAAGGCTTCATGAGATTGCAATTGGGACAGCTAAAGGCATTGCTTACTTGCATGAAGAGTGCCAACAAAGGATAATTCACTATGATATCAAACCAGGGAATATTCTCTTGGACAAGAACTTCAATCCTAAAGTTGCTGATTTTGGTTTGGCCAAGCTTTGCAATAGGGAAAATACTCATATAACTATGACTGGAGAAAGGGGTACTCCTGGTTATGCTGCACCTGAGCTTTGGATGCCGTTTCCTGTAATTCACAAGTGTGATGTTTATAGCTATGGCATGCTTTTATTTGAAATCATAGGTAGGAGAAGAAACCTTAACATTAACCTTCCAGAAAGTCAAGAGTGGTTTCCAATGTGGGTTTGGAAAAAATTTGATGCTGAAGAAGAGTTAATAATAGAATGTGGGATAGATGATCAAAACAAGGAGATGGCAGAAAGAATGGTTAAGGTAGCTTTGTTATGTGTTCAATATAGGCCAGAATCAAGGCCTATAATGAGTGCTGTGGTAAAAATGTTGGAAGGTTTAGTTGAAATTCCAAAACCATTGAACCCATTTCAGTACATGATTAATGAGACTTTCCCTTCACATCATGCCAACCATTGATGCAAGTACTAGTTCTGGCTCTTCATTGATATTAACTGAATCTGGCGTTGCAAGTGCTACTCCTATTATGACAAAGCATGAGATTGAGCCATCTTCCACATAAACTTATTTCAATGATTCATGTTCCTGTTAAAGAAACACTGGTCTTTAAGTCTCTACTCTGAAACAATGACATCCTTCTGACTGTCGCTGACGTGGGGAGGGTACCTGCAAAAGGCACTCTGATGCTGAAGTCAAGATTCGGTTCTGAGTAATAAATGGTATTTAATAATGAAAAGTTAACCCTTTACCTGTACTTCCTACCTTCCTTTTATAGGCTTTATTATGGGCTAATGGGCTTAATGAATCATCCTTGATTTTGACCCTTTGCTTAAAGTAGATAATACTCTAATTATTAACCTTAATTGAGTTAATTACCTCTTAATCCTGATACCAAGGTATCCGGCCAGATTGGACCGAATAGGTACTCGGTTTCCTTTTCCTATATGTAGGACCGAACAGTTCCCTGTCTAGTACACTAGCCCCCCAAGCCCGACGAGGTATGATGTAAGGGCTAAAAATATACAAGTATTAAGCACATGCAGATGAAGGGGTAATCGGTTTGGTAGGTGGTAAAGAAGACTAAGGAGGGTATTCGGTGTTTAGGAGTGTAATTAAGCCGAATAGGGTATTCGGTTAAGAAATATGAAATCTTTTGGTAGGTTGGAATGCATACCGAAGGAGGATTCAATTTTTTTAAAAAAAAAGTGATGTAGACCAAAGAAGTAAACAATAAGAAAATAAAAATAAATAATAAAAAAAGATTATTCTAGAACTTCATGTTTCTTAGGGTTTTCTTGATGTGTGTGTACGAAACGAAAGGGTGCTTGATCTCAACTGTTTGATCTGGAAGGGATCTGTCGGTCAGGAAGGGGTGTGACTCTTCACATCCGAGGACCCTAAACCCTATAAATACATGGTGGTCCAAGTATTTTGTTCTCCACTTTTTCTCTGAGCCGAGAAGTACATACTATTGCTTCAAACCGAAAGGTATTCAAATTTTTATCTTTCTTCCAACCGACTACCTTTGAGGTATGTTTAGTTTTCTCTTTCCCTTCCTTATTTTATTATGGCTGAATCCTTGGAATGGGAAGACTCGCTGTCGGACTCATCTAGGCCGACTAATGTCAATGGTCATAATGTTTAGGGAACCAAAGGGGGGGTTGAATTCTCTTCAAGACCGAGTGATGTGAATGAAGAAGTGGAGACCGACTCTGGAGAATGTAGCGTCGAAGCCGAATCATCTGAGTTAACTGATTCTGATTCTGCTGAGCTCCTACTGAGCATGAGCCCTCCTAGGGAAAGACCAGTATTCCCTCCCTGTACAGTTCATGGATACGAGTAGGTACACAGTGAAGTGGCCGCCTACTTCTCTCGGTTTAAAAAAAATAGGAGTCTTCAATCTTTCATGAACCATTGTGAAATTTCATTATGGGAACCTTCTAATCTCTACCCTATATCCATTGACCCTTGCCGAGGAAATGAAACCGGGAACCTTGAATTTGTTTTTCTAGGGGGTGCCGGGATGGCCGACATCTTCTTTGTGTACGAGTATATGTTTAGGGAACTAGGAATAAAAATGCCCGAGTACTGCGGGTTTTACATGTAGTGCCAACACAACTCCATCTGAATGGATGGGCGGCTATCCAAGCATTTAGAGTACTTTGTAAATTTCATTATATAGAACCTAGTGTAGGCTTATTTCTTTATTTCTTCTGTACTCGTCCATCAGACTTAGCAAGATGGATATCTTTAATAAGACAACTAGAATTGCCACTGTTTAAGCCTTATGCTTCATCTTTTAAGGGTTTTAAGACCGACTACTTCAAAGTAACCGTCCACCCTGTAGATAGAAACTTTTTCTTTGATAATGAGAATAATCCTCTCTTCCCCTTCCACTGGACTGGAGTGCCTCGTCGGTACGATTGGATTCCAGAGGACCTGTTATCGGCCAAAGAGTTATCAGCTTTGGATTACTTGAAGTCTCTTCCCCGAGAGCTTCCTGCCCGACACATCCTTTTAGTGTTAAAATCACCTCACCCTCGTCTAGATATGGATGGTATATTTCGTCTTTATGATTTAGTTTTTGAATCAAATTGTATTGATTTGACTTTTTGTTTTTACTGTAGGCTTAATGGCTCAACACGATGTTCACGTACCAACATACCGTAAAACCTTGAAGTCTAAGGCACCTGAAAACATATCCATTGAGGAGCACTGAAACCCTCAACTCGACCATACGCCAAAGATAATTGGGCCTCGTCCTCCTCCCCAAGACCTTGTCATTGTCGAGAATCAGCCCAAGAGGCGTAGAGAGAAAGGAAAGGAGAAGGAGAAAGGCAAAGACAAAGAGGCCGAGAGGGAGAAGAAGAGGAAGCATTCCCACTTGGGTAAACCGAGTGATTCAGAGGGGGCATGAAATCAAGCCCGAGGTGATTTAATGGTCGGGGTTGGCAGCTCTTCAAATATTCCTCCATTCTTCTTATCCAACACCTTCCTCATCCCAGGAGTACATGCTGGACGAGTGGTTGCACCTGACTTGCTTTCGGATGCAGGAAAGGAAACAGTCAACAACCTAGACCTCGAGTCCCTCTGGAAATGCTACGTGGAGTTTCAAATCCAATCCATGATGATGCTCTGAAGACTAGTACTAGAGCTGACACTTGAGATGAGGAAGGTGCAAAACGAGTTCTCCACCTCCCAACAAGCTTTAGCGGATAATGAAGAGATTCGGCTAAATCTTGCTGAGACCAATAAAGCTTTGGAAGCCAAGGTTGTTCAATATTAGGAACACTATCATATAGTGGAGAATCGGCTCCAGGCTACCGAGCAAGCAATGAGGGCTAAGGAGGAAGAATTGGGAGCTTTGAGGGTAAAATCTTTGGGATTGGAGGAGGCCTTAAGGGCCAAATCTATTGAAATGGAAGAAGCATTGGCTCTTGAGAGGCAAAAGGCTGATGTTGAGATGAAGGCCTTTGCTGACAAGTGTTCGGTCCAAGTGGCTATTGAACACGAGTCGGGTTTTAACCATGCCTTTCGCCAGTGCTATGACTTCTGCCAGGTGCCGGCTGACTTCCATTTTGATCTTACCAAAGATTTTTTCGGTGGTAGGTTTTTA